CCCTCCCTCCCTTTGTAGCGACACAATAATTTTTGGAGAAAGAGGGTTTTCTTTCTGCCCCTCCACAAGCTCTATAACTAAAGGAAAAAGAGTGGTGTCCCTGCGGTCTCCGTGTACAGGCGTACCATGGCTGAGGGCTTAGGTGGCTGTTCCCAAGCCTGTGTTAGTGGTTTTCCTCTAACCCACGTCCACATGTGCATGCACCGTGCTAGGACAGAGCCCCGCTTTCAGCGTGTCTGTGCTGGGCCTCGTGTAGCTGACAGTTGCTACTGCAGTTCCTTTCAAAGGCCGAGAATGGGGCACGTGTGTGTATATATATATATTATTTTTTTTTCACCTTTCTGCTTTTAGATGAGGACTATCATCTTCCTAGGAAGCTGAGCCCCCTTGTTGACACAGGAAAAGTAGATGCGTCTTATCTCTACCTCACTTCCCAAATCATAGAAGGAACCAGTGTTGTCTTCTGAGGTTGCTTAGTCACATTTGTTTTGTTGGGTTTGGGTTTTTGGGGTTTTGGTTTTTTTTTTTGAGTTTGCCTTTCCCCAAGGAAATGAGGCATCTGCTCGGTTCAGGGGCTGGTTTTTCACTTCCACACAGGACGCTGCATCAGCTTCGCTCGCTTGGCCGGGGCGCGCTTTCCTTGGTTAAAGAGTGGCAGAAGGCACGCAGGGGGAATGTTTCCTCATGTGGCATCACACGGGAGGTATGACTCGGTGCACCTTGTGCCATAGGTGTGTAAACACGGCAGCGACCTACTAGGGCTTATTTCCCTGGTGCCCTTGGAGCAGATAAGGATCATTGCACTTGGAGTATTGTCTAATTCTGAATATCCAGGAATACGACTCCAGGCAACTCCCTCGAGGGGGCCTTTTCGGTGATCTCTGAGATCGTATCAGCACAGAGCTGCTGAAATGTGCGTGTATGTAGCAGGATTATCATGATCGGAGGGATAATGTGTGTCACTGACAACCAGACTTTTCAATTGAACTGGTGATGAGTCCTCAACGTGCTGCCTGGAGCTTAGGTTGGAGAAACGTCCTTCTCGCCTTCTCAGTCGGTTTAGTGTCCCTGTTCTGCTCTAAGTTACGGCCGGGCAGTGGGCGCTGCCGGCGGTGCTGGAGCTGGTCTGCCCAGCGACTGCTGGCCTGAGGGAAGGAAAGGGGTGGCCGAGGGCCAGGGACGCTCGTGGCTGTTAGAGCTGAGGTCTCCAGGTGTTGTGTGAGTTTAGTAACCTTCCTGCTTGCTAAGTCTGCGCTTAGCTGGTATATATCCTGCTTTAGTGCTTTATATTGTAGAAGGGGGGGGGAACCCCACATTGACCATTTAAATTGCATTTTGACTGATAATTTTAACAGTATTTTTGTAGCTTACTGGGCATAACTCACTCTGCTGTAAAAGTCCTTTAAAAGACTGCAGAATCCCTGGTGAGAGCTGTGATGCTGCTTATCCAGCCTCTTTCCAGGGAAACGTGGGCTCTGGCAGAGCAAATCCCTGGCTGGAAAGGAGGGAATAGCCTAGCGTGAGGAACTTGGGGTGAGCTGCAGCTTATTGAAGAGATACTTGAAGTTGTCTGCGCCTAAATAAGAGCAGTTATTTTCCATTCTTATAAGTGGTAATAAAACCAAGTAGTTGTCAGGCTTTTCCTGCCATAAAAGAAATCAAGGACACGTCTGTCTCTCTCTGGATTAGGCTGGTGTAGCAGAGCAGGTTACTTTGTCATAAAAAGCCTGCAAATTTAATGCAATGGGAAGGTGAGATGCTTTGAAATGTAATGGGATATTTTTAAAGCTCCTCAGTCCTTCTAAACAGAGTAATATAATTAGTAATTCTTAAATCTGGGCTATGTGGAGAAAACTCTGTCTGGCTGTGTCAGTTAAAGTTGTTAAAGGGTTCCCCATCCTTTTCAGCCTGGGAGTCCTCGGGTAGCATACAAGGTACTGACTGTGGATGTCGGTGAGAACAGATGAACAGAGAAATCCATTGGGGCAGGCGTGGGAAGTGGTGAGCTGAGAGCAGGACACAGTCCAAAACCCAGGACTTCTGTTATAGCAGAGCCGGAAGATCCTGCCTTAATTCCTGAGCTCAGCCGTGGTGTGGACATTACACAGGCGAGCGAGCGATGGACTCTGTCCTGGAGAACTCGCGACCGAGGGCAGTGAAGGCACAGGGAAACAGCGTGGGTCCTGTGGGGGTTAAAACAGGCAAGAGAAATTTGAAATTTGCTGTTTGAACCCAAGTCCGGTATTTTAACAAGATTATTTGTAAAACGGGCATATGGGAAGGCTTGAATGTGGAAACTAGAATGTCAGTAGAGTTCTTTTTAAGAACAAAAGTATGAATAATATTTTCTGGTTTGGCTAATTATAGCTCTTTGTTTTGAATTAAAGATGCAGCGTTAATAAAAATAATGGCTTCTATTTAAATGAAAACAATGCCTTCCGATCTAGCAGTTTTGTAGCAGTAGTGTCCATTTATTTGTTGCTTCTAACACTGAAATTACATGACTTCTCATCTGCTGCTTCACTGTCCTTTTCAAATTGCTTATAAACAAGGTGATGTATGTCCCGGAGTAGAATCCTTTAGTGTTCAGTATAACAGACTTTGAGTCTTTAAGGAAGTATCATTATGATACAGGTAGCTGGTCTAACGACTTAGAAGGGATCGTCTTGGGGCCTCTCTCTCCTCTGCTTATCGCACAGGTACATCTGACATTTATTACCCATTTTCTCTTTATTTAAAGACATTGCTGGGCATCTTCCTTTGTCTCTGCTGTGAGAGCTTCTGTAGAGAGGCTCCAACACACTCAAGCTCGGATGTCTCCTGACCCCATAATGTTCTCCTCCCGCCCTCCTTTTTCGCTTTGGAGAAAGGAAATTCCTGTTTCATGCTGCTACGACTTAATTAAACTGAGGGGGCTCTGTGGGGTTCCTGCGGCTGTTTAGCAAATAGCTTTGCTGGCCTGTTTTGTTGTGAGTGGTGATCTAACCACTTCCATCAAAACTTGGGATTTTTTTTTTTTTTTTGATGTACCAATAGCCTTGATGCATGTAGGGGTGTGATCCTTCAACACAAAAAAAAAAAAAAAAAAAAGTTGGACCAGGCTGATAAATGTGTGATAAAGAATGAGCTTTTTGAGGCTTCTATTGCTCTGTGGAACCAGCCTTGGTCTATGACAAAGAATGTTAATTGGGACAACAAAAGAGCAACTGGTTCGATACGGTGTCATATTCAAGGACTTCAGACATCAGCGTAGCTGTGGCAAAGTTTCTCATGTGATGTCGTGATTTGTGCTGGTAAATCGCTGTGGATTCTGGTCTGCTATATCCGTGGTGGTTTCAGTATCCAACAACCATCTCGCTATCTGGGACCTGGCAGCGTCCTTCAATTCCTGCAGTTGTTTGTCTTAATGACCTGAGCGACTCCTTCAAGAATCACCACAAAGCAAACAGCAACCAGAATATCGCTCTTTCATTCCTCACCTACTTCTTTCTTTGTATTCTGTGTCTTTTTAGGCAGATTTTTTGAAAGGATTACCAGTCTACAACAAAAGCAACTTCAGCAGATTCCATGCGGACTCTGTATGTAAAGCATCAGTAAGTATTGCCACATCCTAGTGCTCTGGGGGAAGGTGGGGGTTTTTGGCGTGGCTCAAAGGATGCTAGAGTGAAATAAACTTGAAATGAGTATTTTGTTTCTTAAAAAACACATATGATCACAGCTGGTAGTTCATGAGCTGAGATTGGCGAGGAAAGCTTCCTGCTTGCTTTGGTGAGGAATGTGTCCTCTCATCGGCCAAACCACATCTGTGGTGCTTTCTTTATATATACACATTCTTTAATAGTAGTCTTATGCCCTGAAAAACATGGGAAAATGGACTTCCTTCTTTATATGTGTGTTTTTAAAAGCTGTAGCCGCACAGTGTCACGTAACAAGGCAGAATATCACAGTGCATTTGTAGCCTGCATTAATGAGAGCCTTTTGGTTGGTTTAGCTGTGCTCGGGTTAAAAATCACCTTTTTACTGTCTTCCTTCTGTAACTGTTCTAATTCTTCTATAGAATAGAAGACCGTCGGTATATCTTCCCACGAGAGAATATCCTTCTGAACAGAGTAAGTCTGCCCTGCTGAAGTTTTGAGTTTTTATAACTTTATTCTGTTCTAATATTAAAAATCTGGCGTATACATAATCTCTGTTATTTTAAAGTTCAGATCGGGTGATGTGATTGAACTGTCACCACGGTGATTAGCAGTGTATGTCTAGTTTTTGTGCTTTTCCTCTATCCTTATTAAGTGATCGCTGTTCCTACATACTGCTCTTTTATTAAAAAGGACCATGCTTAGTATGTGAAGTAATGTGGTGATTACTGCAGCATTTTAAAAGTCATCTTTAAAATGATCTCAGTATGGTTTTTTTTTTTGTTTTGTTTTTTTTGGCAGTCATAGTAACAGAAAAGACAAATATACTTTTGCGTTATTTACATCAGCAGTGGGACAAAAAGGTATGGTTTTGTTTTCTTAATATTAACATTTTGTCTTGATTTGCTGACTCGGGTTAATTGAGCTGAATATTGATCGCAATCAAAATATTGAAGATTTAATTAAAAGAAAGTGCGAACTGCACTTCAGCAAAAGATAATGTAAGGAACCTCCGTCTCTGCACAAGACTTTAAAAAAAAGAACAAACACCAAAACCACCAAAAACGCCCCCAACTGACAGAACAACCACCAACTTTTTCTTCCCTTTCAATTTAAGGGACACTAACTCAGTGTTTATTCTAGAACTTGGGAGACTGCAGTTACATCTCCCACTGACTGTGGTTTTCCTTTGTGACCTTGGGAAATTGGTCTCCCTGTGCCTCAGTGTCTACTTTACAGCTAGGGCAAAGCTGCTCTTACCTCCCAGAACTGTTAGGGGGAAGACGGATGTGCTTGTGCAGAACAGGAATGTGCTAATGAGGCTGTGTGAGTACTTTGGGTACAACATCTGAGCTCTTGTATGAGGAACGCCCAAATTGGTATACTCTAGCTAGCGTTTGAGGCGTGGAAGCTGGGATACCTGGGCTGGGAGTACTCAGAACAAGGTGATGACTTAGGAGCGGAGATGTCGAAGCAGCGAGTGGGCAGAGCAGAGGTTGCGGGAGAACATGGAGAGGTAGAATTGTAAAGAACTGAAGCTGAAGAGGCACTATTTGTATGTGACAGAAGGCTTTGGGAGATTTTGGTAAGTTCAGGGACTGACTCAGAGCAGTGGGAAAGAGCATCTTACTCATGTTTATGCAGTATTTGAGATCTATAAATAAGAAGTGCTGAGATCAATGATTGGTGGTTTAGTCCCACCCTCAAATTTGAGGAACGATCTAGAAGGAGCACCTTTCAGCTTTGGCCAAAACCCTCTTCGGTGTCTGTTCTGTGTGTCAGGTGATCGCAGCACTACATGCCATCTCAAAACTTTTACAAATGAAATCTTGTTCTGCCGACGCTAGCTCCTGCCAGAATCTAAGGCTTTGGAGAGATTCACTCTGACTTTCTCTGTCCCAACAGAATGCAGCAAAGAAGAGAGATCAAGAGCAAGTGGAAATAGAAGGTGAGAATTCGGCACCACCACGGAAAATCGCTCGGACAGACAGCCAGGATATGAACGAGGACACTTAAACTCTTGCCTTTCTCCTCTACTACTTTGCAGGCGCTTCCTGTTTTGTCTCAAAGTGTGTAAATTTTGCCCCCATCTCTCACCCCTCCACTATGCAGCCCAAACCACTTCTGACTTCATAGGAGCCAATGTATTTATTTTTTTTTTCCCCCCCTCTCCATTTTTTATTTATGCCGTAAAACCTACAGAGCGATGGTGGAACAATTCAGTAAATGATGTAGTATAACCTTAGTTCCTCCTTTCTAAAAATATACACTGTCACTTTCACAGGTTTTGTTGAATCTGTTACCTAAATCAACCCAATCTAGCTACGGGAGCCTGGGTAGAAGACATGGGTTATTACAGAACCCTTCAGTGGTTATAGGCTTTCCGATTCATGTACCCGTTGACGTAGTACAAGCGGCTAACTCTTCTTTGGACGTGCCCAGTCCAGCCATAAGTGTGGGGCCTTGCTATTTTTCTCAAATATTCTGAAACTGGCACTGCACTAAAAAAAAAAAAAAAAAAAAAAAATCATAAATCATGGGTGTCATTTAGGGTTATGTTGATCTTAGCAACCGTGTTGTCAACTTGATATATCAGTTGTATTCTTTTGGTCTGTCCTGTAAGGACCACGGTCATTTGGCAGCGTACATTATCTCATGCATCAGTGGTCATGGAGAATTCAAGTGAAAGGTGTGTTGCTTTTGTTGTCCTTAAATTCTAACCGTCTCTTGGTCTTGAATGGACTGATATGTGCAACTTCTCCGTCGGAATAAAAGGATAGTCTTCTGAGTATTTGATCAACAGTGTATTTAAGCAACAGCTGACGGAATGGAGTTGGGTAGGCACCCTGCGGGCAGCGCCTGGCTGGATGAGTCTGGAAGCACCTCAGCAACTAGATCTAGTTCTTTGTCTCAGCTGCCGGCTCTGAATAATGGTACGTTGTATTTTCCTGCAATATCGGCGTGTCTGGAATGGAGCCCAGGACTCGGAGTTGATCAAAATGTGAGCTTCCATGGTCTCTGATGAAGACCGATCTCTTTTGGACTGTGACAGTTCAGTGCCTGTTGCCTGTAACCCTTCGCTGACTCTTCACTAGGAGCCAAAGTGGAGACCTGTAAGTCGTCTAGGTGGATTCAGAAGTGCAGAGACTAAAAGGAAATGAGCATCGTCACCTGAAGGGGACAGGAAAGGTGTAGCTTAGTAATGATGTCTTGTCTGCTTTAACGTAAGAAGCTGACTTCACACTGTGTTAGTTTAAATCGTTGCATTTATAGCTGTGTTTTTTCCTCGTTCACAAATCCTAAACACCAATTCAAGAAATCGCATGAATGTTTTTCTAGAGATCCTGGATAAGCCTTGGTTCTGAGTAGCTGCGGTGGCCGCCAGCTTTGAGGGTTTCTGCTGTCCCCTTCCGTGGTGTCCCTGTCTGACCGGGGGACGTCAAACGTTCAGGTTTGGGGGCGAAGGGAGAGAAAACTGTTGCTGACGACCGTATGTTGTAAGGCAGAACCTTAGGAAGAGCAGGGCGCAGCTCACGTTGCGTTTTTAAATGTACCTTAGGCACCGAGTTTCTGATGCAGTGAGTGAATTTAACTTCATACCGAGTAGTTTAGAACTTTGTATCTGCCTCAAAAACAAACAAAAAACCAAACCCGTTACCTTTTTGCTATGGCAGTAACCTCCAAATTACTGGAATGTCATTGAAAATGCCAACTGTGTTGGTGAAGATAAAATATACTTGGGTTTCCATGTGATTTCCTGGCGATTGCAAGGGGACTCCTCCCAGAGTTACGCTGTCAAAAAGTGCTTTTGTGCAAAGCGCAAGGCGTTGACTGCAGATGCTGTGGTAGCATCCGGCCTCGCAGGGATTATCTGAAACTGAAGAATCCTTTGAAGAGCTGAGAGATACCAAAAGAGGAAACGGACGTGCAGCTGGTGGTAAAGTGTGACCAATTTGTGTGTTTAGCAAAGCTTGAGAGCTGCAGCCTTGCAGTAATGTTTGTACAGTGCTTTAAAGTTGTAAAATGCTGTATAATTCTTGATTGATATGGCAAGGTTTGAGCTTTGCTGACTTCTCTGCTAGACAGAGTGATGTACTATTAAAGAGAGTTGGCAGTTCCTTCCTGTTGTAAACCCCCGTCTTTGTTCCCTCCGTGTATTTTTAAAATTATCTTCTTGATTTTGGGAGCCTTTGAAATATTTCCGCTATTTTTAGGAGGTTAAAGTTGCCTTTTTTTAAGTAGTTCTGAAGTGATGGAGAAACGAGTCTTCAAAGGGACGTGGCTTTGTGTCACTGGTTGGTGGATTTTTATTTGTTGTTGATGGTTGTGTATGAGCGCAATGGATTTCTGATGCATCCCGTCCGATCTGAGGCGAGAGCTCCTGTCCTCCTTCCTTCTCCAGCTCGTTTCCCGTGCCACTGCTGGCTCAAGAGCGCTCTCCTCAAGCTGTTGCAACTTCGATCCTAAATTCACGCCTGTGTAATACATGGTAAGTGTAGCGGGTTTAACGTTGCACGGAAGATCCTATTTGCCTAACTGTGATTTCCTGGTGCCTTAGTGCATTGAAAACAACAACAACAAAAGGTTTTAAAAAACCAAACCCTGGGGTTTTGCTGACCGTGCTGTTTGTACCATACCTAGTTCCTCTGACTTGCAACTCTTGTTACGACGTGACTGAGATTTAGTGACCCTCAGGGGTTTTTGTACGTGTCTGCATAGTGATATTTTTATTGTTTCTGTTGCCGATCTATACTAAAGGTTTAGGTTTTTTAATGAAAACTTGAGATACTTGTCAGAGATCAGAATTTTGGGTTTTTTAGTTGAATAGTGCATCTTTTCTCAAAAGTCAAAGCAGCAGAAACATCTTTCTTGCTATTGGGGAATGATGAGTCCGTCTAGGAGCAGCCTGTCCTGTTTGCGGGCGTCTGTCCTGTATTAAACAGTGCTGGAGCTTGTGCCCCACGCAAGCAATTAGATGTATGCTGGGTACGTTTAGAATATGAAAAAGTTAGGCACTGCCTTTTTCTAACATAAAAATACACTAGTGACTGATGTGCAGGGAAACTAAAGTTTTGTTTAGGTTAGTTCTTGATACTGTATGATCACTTTTTTTTTTTTTTTAGAGGACAAATAGTCAAAAAAACTACTCACATAAGAGTTAGGGGTGGGAAAATGTTGAAAGAAAAGATACCTTAACATGTTCTGTGAATTCACAGCTGGGGGGGACGGGTAACTGCGTCTGAGCAGCGACATCTGTGTGTGTTTGCGTTGACGGTTGGTTCCTGGGGCTTGCCGGGTCAGAGTATGTTCAGTCAGGTAATACTGGCATGTTCAGCTTTCAAGGTGTTTCCTGTTTCTGTCCTTGGAAGTTTTTTTTTTCGAGACTGTAGTGAATGATGCCCTGAGCAACCCGCTCTGCATTCGGTATCGCCTGTGCTTCGAGCAGGAAGGTGGAGGTGACCTGGGATCCCTTCCAGGCGATAAACCCAGGGAAGTGCAAAATGCAGCAGAACCCACAGCTGGAAGGTTTGGTTTTGTACGAGGCTGGCAAGCTGCGGAGGACCGTTAGCAAAACTTAGGGAGTTTGCAAGCATGTGCTGAAGTTTTTTGACAAACTCTGAAACAGCATTTTGCTACAAAGAACAGCGAGCTGCAGGATGGAGATCCAAACCAGGAGGGGAGGGAGGGAGCTGCTGGGCTCCCCAGCTGCCTGAGGCTGCGGCAGCCTTTACCGGGGGGTATTGAAGGTGGGCAGAAGTTTTATGGTGTATTTCATTTAGATGATGCATTTGGATGCATGTCACTGTAAGATGACAGGTTTTTAGAATCATTTAGATATGTTAGATGTGATTTTTTTAAAAAAAAAAGACTTGTTTTCTTAGCAAGACACGAAGCACCGGCAGCGTACTGGTTTCCTGGTGTGGATGCCTGGGATGCACGTCCCCGTGCCTGTCGGGAGCCGGGTTGTGACAGATCCAAAGGACGTGCTGAACCCGACCGCTGTTCCCTGCCCTCCTGGTGAACGTGCCGAGCTGCTGGTGAACTCCCCGTGCGCGCAGTTGTTTGGGGCTGTCCCGATGTCCCCGTGCGGGGAAGGCTGCGAAGGTTGGAGTAGGATCGGCTGGAAAACGGGTTTCCTTCCCTCTCCAGTGCGTGCCTTATGCAGCAGTGCGGTTGTCGGTGTTTGGACTGTTTCCTTTTGAGGCAAATTTTGAACATGCTGGACATTAGTCTTAAAATTTTCACTCTATGCTAGGCAATTATAACTGGTGTAACTTTAGAGCTTTATTTTTTTTTGGTGAGCTCCTTGACACTGGCCTTGAGGGCAAAGCCTAAGCAGGAGTCTTGGATTTTTTCTAAGCCTGCAGCTATCAGCTGTGTTACCACTTACTGTTTTCCAGCTTGTTTGTATACCACTAGCTTCATTTTTTTGTTTTACAGATTTTTAAAAAGACCTGTGTATCTATAATAAGAAAACAAATTTGTTTTCCTGGATTAATGACATCAGTCTGGCAGCAGAGGACTTGTGCAGCACGCTGATCGTGACCGGAGGGGTTCCAGCTGATCCCTCTCCGTGTCAGCTTTTGTGGGTTTTTTTGGTTTTTTTTTTTTTTTTTAAAATGTGTAACCGAGAGTGGGAAATCCCTTTTCTTTGAAGACGGGGAGGTTTGCATTTACCTGGGAGCAGCTAAGGGTATTTTTTGGGAGCAGTGCCCAGAAGCGGGTATTGCGTCATGGCTTCGGTTAAGCCCAGCCTGACCTTCGTGTTGTGCTGACTGCGCTTTCGGGTTTCTCTGCTGCTGGTTCACAACAACTGGGCCCTGACAGCGGAGGGTGCAGCCCCGAGGTCTCGTCTGCCGGCTGATTTGGGACGGTTGCTGTTAGTAATCACCCAAAAAGGCTGAGTCAGCAGGATATCCAGGTGGACTGGCTGTGCCCTTACTTACGGGTCCAGGGGTTGTGTCCAGCCTACACGAAGTGACTTGCTGTCACAGCATCGGCTTGCAGAGCTCGTCCTCAAACACATGGCACTGGCAGCTGCGTTGTATTTTTACGTAAAAGATGTCTGTCGTCTGGAGAGTGTAATGTCAGGGAGGAGACGGGACTTCTAGAACCTCATCTTTATTTAACTATGGGGGGAAAACCCCATCTTCTAGATACTGAA